TTTTTTTTTCATCATCTTATTCTTCTCTATTTTTAAGACTTGTGAAATCATGCATTACTATTCAGTCTGCACATATAATTTGCACTGCTCTATCATAACAAGAACCAGTGCATATAATCGACTGATTTTAATTCTTCGTACTGTGCTAAATGTTCCCAACACATACCTAGTAGGACATCGTTTGATTACTTGTTATGGATGCATAACATTGTAATGAATTTTATTGGAATTCAAACGAACACATCAGATAGTTAACAAGCATTCACAAGCACTTCGGTGAATGGTCTATTCACATAAATAGTAGTTGAACGTAACTCGAGCATACTCAAGAGATAAGCGGTTTCATCTGATATTGTTTGCTTGTAAAAGTATGATGAATACTGACTGAGATTTTTGCGGACTCCAGATAGTCGTGTCGGGGGTTAAGTGTAAATATAGCAAATGATTATTTTTAGTCTGTATGACCAAGAAAAACAATATAACTGAAACATATGCCCAATTCTAATCCAAAATCAAACTATCGATCAAATGTCAACATAAAGATTGGCATTATCGTTTAAGTCATTAGAATTAAAGAAAACCAATAAAGTAAATCGAATAAACTCTTATTTTATTATCATTATTCCTTACAATATAAACAACTCAAAATCTCAATTAATTAAAATTTTATATCTTAAATTTAATTATCACATAGCAATCTTTCATTCCTAATTAAAAAAGATCGATATATTTCTGTTCGAACATAATCCTTTCACAGATTCATATAAATCAACCAAAAACACTTGTCGTCAATACGACTCGATAGATACAGGTATATGCATTGTTCGACAAGTCGATATCTGTTCAATACATATATATAACTATGATATATTGATTTCCATCGTCGCATAAAATAAGAACACAATGAAAACATCTCAACTGACACAAAAAGGTTGCACTATCATTCTTAACTAGTATGCTTACACATCATCGATCTTGTTGATTGGATATGAAGAGAAATAGAAAAAAAAAACTTATCATAGATAGGTTAACATTTTTCTCTTGAGATGCATATGTGTATATCTTCATCGTTATGATCGATATCGAAGAACAGAACAATTTGCAATAATGTCTGCCTATCAATAACCATTATTACATACGGTACTTGAATGTTACTGTTATTTCTAACCAATAGAAAAAAGAAAATAACGAACAAGTGTATAAATGTATTCTCTATACGCTCGTACAAACTAAAACTAATAGATATCAGATATTGACTATGTTATATTGAATTTAGATCATCATACGCAATAGCTTCAAGGCATATGTACGTAAGGATCATTTTTTTTTGTTTTTTAAAAGATAACAGAAGGTTAAAGTTGTAAATAATTTACAAAAGGATTTAATGAGAGAGGAAATGAGAATACATATTCATCAAACAGACACCGACTTCTTTGTTTTCTTTCCTTTTTTTAATTACTATTAGTATAATCATATAATGCCAAACCCATAAGGAAATATCTCTTTTACCTGTTTTGCATATTAATTAAATAAAATTATAGATGATTATTGAATCTGTAATCACATTTTAATATCATTTGTTTTTTTTTCTTTTGTTTTGCAAATGAGAGATCATAATATTGATCTTTCACATCTTGATCATTAAAAAAAAAATAAGAACGCATATGTAGCAAATCATAGATCCGTCAAAAGTGTATACAATCGATAAGAGCAAAATGCCGTTCTAACTTTCTTTTAAACTTATCAACGACAAAAGAACACATACTGTGGTTTGTCTTAATTGAATGAAAGCGCATGAATGTGTATCTATACTGCTGGTGATCATTAAGAAACATGATATGATTGACGCGAAACGAAGAAGCATCAAGAGCAAGTGTAGAAAGTCAATATTTACATATGGATGGAAATAATCGATTGAAAATGTTCAAACGAAAGGAATATGTGAGCAATTGACACAAATCTGTTTCCTATATTGACTATAAGTACTGCCGACTTTATTCGATAAGAATCATTGAATATATAAAGACATCAATATGCAGCACGTGTATTAGTATTGATGCTATTCAATCAATCAAAAAACAAAATTATCAAATTTCAAAAGTTTAAAGACTAATCCTAATAATCAGAATGATTAACTGAACTTGTATAAGTAGAAAAAAAAAAAAGCTTTTTATATGAAAATGAATTTATTTCATTTCTATAGAACTAATAACCGTAAGCATGTCAACAAATGTCTTTTAATATTTAATGTGTATATAGAAATTTTTTGTCTTTTTAAGACGCATAATGAGATTTTTACCGATTGTTAAAACAACATAGAAAAAAATGATTATTGAAATATTTGTTTTCTTTTTGTCAAGTCTTCTTTTGTATATATGACAAATTCAAGTTTAGTTCAACAATAAAAGTCAAGTGTTGATTTTGTTTGTATAAATTGATTTGTAGACTCTTATTCATCACTAATCAGCATATTAATTGAAAATGATATACAAATATGTATGTCATTCGACATTTGCATCTCAAATTTTGAAATCGTATCTTAGTTTAATTATAATATACAATCTTTTTTTTAGTGATTCTTAATGTTTGATTATTTGAACTAGATGATGAGTTAAAATGATTTAAGCATGTTCAATTAGTTACATGTATTTGAGATAATAATTGCACTTTGTTTTTTTTTTATTGATATTACTTGAAAATGTTTTTTTTTTCTTTTTTGATATTTTAATCAATCTAGTGATCGAATTTATATTGACATCCATTGTCATATGAATTCGATCAAAAAAAAAATCCTTTTCTTGTTCTCCATTCAGAATGCATATAAATGGTCTGCTAAATTGCTGAGAGAATTGCTGCTATTAGTGCATATGTCTTAACGAATGAGAAAAGAGAACTCTTTCTGTCTCTCTCTCTCTCTCTCTCCTTATTCGCTTAATACACACGGGTGTCATAATAATAATTTGTTAGTGTATATTATGTGTAATCGCTTCAATGTGTCCTTTTGTTTGATGGCTGTTGAGAATTTTCTTTAAATATGTACATAAGAGTCAGAAAAAAAGACTGAGAGTACGTGATTATATATAGACATTTGATAATCAAATAGAATATATGTATCCTTTTCTAGATTAGAATCTATTCTGATGAATGATGATAGATTGGAAACGGCTGTTCCTTCATTGGACAATGAGGCCAAATTGGTAACAAGTCCATCAATAACCTGTCCTTCATCAACAATACAAATGACTTTAACAAATCGTATATTTTCACCAACTAATATGAATTCTTCATCGATATCACCAGTTAAATCAACTTCTATTCGACGAACATTTAATATCTGTGATATTCTTGCTAAACCATCATCATTCGTTGATAGTAATAATAATAATAATAATAATAATACTCGTCAACTGCATCAATGGAAATTTTTAATTGAACAACAATTACATTCAGATGATGAAATCAATGGTTCGATTAGCGATTGTGATGTATCTGGTAAAGAAATTTTCTTTTTAAAAATATTGAATTAATAAAAACAAACCAATCAATTTTTGTTTTAGATGGTTGTTTATCCGATATAGATGAGAAAATTCCTGGTGATGATTTAAATGTATCAAAATCATCATCAACAAGCTCAGATAAACCATCAAAAGTACGACGACAACGAACAGCATTTACATATGAACAATTAGTTGCATTAGAAAATAAATTTAAACAAACAAGATATTTATCAGTTTGTGAACGACTTAATCTTGCATTATCATTATCACTTACAGAAACACAAGTGAAAATTTGGTAGAGATATTATAGTTTGTTTGTAAATTATTAATTTATTTATTTGTTTTGAAACAAAGGTTTCAAAATCGACGAACAAAATGGAAAAAACAAAATCCCGGTCTTGATGTTAATTCTCCAACAATAAATTCATCATCATCATCGTCATCAATTGGTATTCATTCAGCCGCTGCAGCCGCTTATGTTGCTTCATTTTATAATTCTCAACAACAAATCAATGGATCTTCATCAATAAATTCATCATATCGATTATTATCACCGCTTTATGCTGCATCATTATATGCGAATGCTCGTAAATTTACTTGACATATTAAACATATAATTTATATATATACATATTGTCCGTACGAGATTTCTGTTTTTTTTTAAACAGACAAACA